AGCAGGGCGGTTTCACAAATTCAAGGTCCTATGGACTGCCATCCTATCTTCTGAAACTGCTAAATTAAGACCCCATTCCACCAAGCAGCACCATTACCCTCACACTGAACCCCAACTCATGGACCTGAAATACTGAAATATTTTACTTCAAAGCCAAACAGGTGCCTAACGCCTTTTTTTTTTTTTTAGATTTTCCTCCTCAGTTTGAAGGTTTCTACAGACTTGAACTGGACGTGGAGGAAACATTTAGACACAGCTTCCTCACTATTGGTCTAGCATACAGATGATTATTTTCATTTTTTCCACTTTTGATGCTCCATTCCCTTAAATGCTACATTCATTTTTCCCAGCAAATGCTAAAGGAATGACATCGTCTTTAGCCGTGCAGCTGCAAGAACATGTGCCTCCGCCCATATTTTCCGGAAGCCAAGTGTTAAAAGACAGTAGGAATTCTGCACCCAGCTTCAGAAACCTGTCATGTCTGCAGGACAAGTGGGTTTTAATCGTGTGGGGTTTGATCTCAGCTCAGGTTCCTCTCTCCCAAGCCGTTACAGCAAATGTCCATATTGTCACAGTCACAAAGAAAGATTTTCACACCTCGCCTCACTTTTGCACTGAAATCAGGAAGTTAATCAAATCAAATGTGTCAAAAGGGTATAAAATAAAAACACCATCTCAGCAAAAAAGAAGAACAAATTGGTGATAATTCCTGTTTATACTGTAAAGGTTTTAGATGTTCTGGGTTCAAAATAAATCTTCTGAATTCGAAATGCTTTTTCACATGTGCCTTTCTATTGCTGAATAAAAACTTTTTACCAAGTCTTTTTTACCAAGTTTGAGGAGCCAGCCAGGAGGGAGCCTCGGGAAAAGCAAGATAAGTAGTTCTTTCCTTTCTTCCCTGCTGCTTTTCAGGAAACCATATCATTAACAAAACCTGGAAAGGAGTTTTAAGGACAAGGTTTCTTTACTTTTTAACTAGCAGGAGGATTTCAGGAATAATTCAGATATAATTCCCCTAGGGATAAATTCACATATTTACAATATATTTTTTGGAATCCATTTATTTCTGTAGAGCTGCTTTGTGATGATGTCCATTGTTAAAAGCGCTATGCAAATAAAATTGAATTGAAAATTGAATTGAATGAAATGAATCAGTGCGAAATCCTGTGGTACGAGTTGTATCAGGATTATAGGCTAGTTTTAATGCAATTGAAACAAGTTGTCTAAACTGTAGTTTCTAGAGTAACTGAAACCCGTGTTGTAGCAAACCCGAAGTACCGTGCTTCTATGTAACTTTATAACTCGTAAACTAACAGTAAAATTTGTGTGATTTGGCCTGATGGACTGAGGTTAGTTGTTGTTGTTTCCAGTTTAAACTATGAAGTAGACCCAAAACAGTGTGGTTTATGCCTGACAGACCATGACCATTTGTATTTGTGTTTATAATCCCAGGATAATGAATAAGTGATCTGAGTTACAGTATCTGCTTTATGTCATGTGAAGTGAAAGAGAACTCTTGAACTGCTTTATAGGCAAGCCTTTAATAGAGTAATGTATCACCAAGCATGGTTCACAGGGTATGTTTTGATGGGATCGAAAATGTTGTAAATGAGCCTGTGGGCTGTGTCTTGAATCGAGAATGATCCTAAAATACCAAAACAGTGAGAAAAGGAAAGTGGCAAATGGGCTCCAGGGAATTTTCACCATAAATAAAGTTCTGAAGAAGAAGACAGAAAACTTGGAGGCAGAGAGACAAGCTCTCGCAACCGAAAATAAGCTACTGCACTCCAAAGCCTGTGATACTGTTATGTCAATCAAAAATGAGTGATGAGGTTATTTTTAATATAGAAACAGAGGAGTTGAAACAATAAATTTCAGTGCAAGAGCGAGTCGCTTAGATCTTCTCTTGAAAAGCGCAACAACATAACTTCGCCATGCTCGATCTGCCTTTAAATATGTAGAGAATAAACTTACAAACAGTGATCCAAACGTGTGTAATGATTGCACAGACAGGATTGATTTCATGCTTCTCCAAACAATTCTGCACAATCCCCAATGGCACAAGAAGGACCGATCCTGTAAATGAGAGTAACATTGATCCCAGATTTGCGAATGCCTCGGCTGTTTGGACAGCTGTGTCTTACAAAACTATCTGTTGAAATCCGTGTGAGAATATTAGGTGCAGTTCAACCTGGTCAGAGAGATCCTGCAGAGTTCTTCTCAAAACTGTACAATTTGTCTGATTCTGATGCGTGTTTACTGCCCTGCCTTCCTCACATCTTTGATGGAGCATTCTGCCTAAATGTTTCTTAACAGAACAGCAGACAGAGGCTCTAATCCGAATTCTTTGGACTGATCTGATTAACCGGAGGAAGGTAACAGAGGTGACAACACATCCAGGGGAACACTCTGTATCGTATGCAGGAGAAGGTTGGAGAAGGTCTGTAGTCATTGAATAGAAATGTGAGATTAGAGCCACATCGAACCGTGTGCAGTAGGATTATGCCACACTTCCTGTTTCACGGTGTGACCTGTCTAGTGATCGCATCGCCATGGCAACACTGTTTGGGATATAAAAAATTCCTTGCCAAATAAACATCATAAATATCTTGAGAGCACGCTGAGCAAATTTGGAATCTGATTAATCTGATTATTTATTTGGAGAGTAGTTGGTACAAAATCCAAAATGGCCGCCTTCCTGTTCCTGTAGTTAAGGAACATGATTTTAAAATTTGTCTGTCTTAAAGAGACCCATACACCTACCAAATTTGGTGCAGGCTGATGAAACTGGATTCCCATAAATAAGAGAAATGCTTTTCCAGAACTTGATGACCACCATTTTTAATGCTTGTGCCAAGTTTTGTGTGTTTTCAAGCACACCAAAGAACTCAAAAATGGCCAAAGTGTTGAAAAACAATAAACAGCCCATAAACAATATTGTCCTTCACACCCTTGGTGCTTGGACTTTAGAGCTGTTGGAGCTGTAGAATTGAGAAATCCAGCTGCTGCCTCAGAAAGCTGACGAGGCGAAAGGAAATCTTCTACATCGTCCATCAAAGACCCAAACACTTCATAGCAGTCAATTCAGGGAATGTGTCATTTTGTGAAATTTGGAAATGTCACGTATGAAAACATTGTACAGAACACAGGAGACTCAATCAAGGTATTGTTTATTTTGCACGTTGAAAGAGGGGACACAAAGTGAGACAAGGTCACTAATTACCCAAAAGCAGTGTTGGTGTATCAAGACCTGCTTAAGTAAGTGAGCGGTTTAGTGAGTTGCGTAAGACTGTAGATCAGTGACAAGCAGTTGTTAGTCAGATTGGAGAAATTGACGTAACCACATAAAACGTAATGGCTGTTAAAGTGCAAGAAGGTTTGTAATGTGTTAAATAGTATTTTAACAGTCAAAGAAGTCAAAGAAATTCTGAGCCTTCAACAACAATAATATGAAATGGTTCATCAAGTACCAGTAATAATTCAGCACCAAGGAGTAAGAAAATGGAACCAAATCATAATTGGCTTTTGCATTTAAAACTGCATAAATTGTCTTAGGTACCATTTTTATCAAATTTTTTTTATTTTATTTTTTTTTTTATTCTATAAAAGCAATTGGCTGGTAGGTTGTTCCAGGGGTCTTGGAGAACCTGCTTCTGTTCCTCTGTCTTTGAATAAAACATGTAAGCAAAAAATCTATACAAAAACAGAGGGTGTCAATACTTTTGCACGGTACCATATGTGTACGTGTGGGACAAAGGGGTGGACGTTCTTTCTGTTCTTATTGTATGTGTTTTATAGATTCCATCACATCCAAACAGACAAAAAAAAGACAGCATTGTCTTCAGAGATGGATGAACAGTTCTAGAGGAGCTAGAGGAGCTAGAGGAGCTAGAGGAGCGAGTAACTCCCTGTTCAAAGGAAAGCCAATTATGGAGGATGTTTTTAGGATTCGTGGATTCTCAGGACGGATAATTAACCGGGAACTGAGACAGAAGGAACCGACTAAAGACCCTTGTAGATGAGCAAGTCCTTCTAACTTATACAGCTACAAGAGAGACTGCAGGAGGAAAAAAGATTGTACATTCACACTGTCCACATGGTCAATCATTTCACACATGGAGATAATTATTGTACAGGGTTATGATGGCGTGTTACAGAGACCAAACACACACACACACACACACACACACACACACACACAATCTGTTTTGATTCTACCTTGTGTTTCAAATCATAGTTCCAGTTTCACCGTTACACAGCATGTTTTGGATGTGATGGTACTGAATATCTCTCTCTCTCTCTCTCTCTCTCTCTCTCTCTCTCTCTGTCTCCCTAACACAATGTTTATTTGCTATTGTCCCAAATTTTATTATAAAATTATTCTATTCTATTAATCGATAACAAGTATTAAGTGATTCAGCCTTATTTTAAATGATTTTACTCAGTTCAAACTATTAATTTCTGTATCCTATTAGCAGATCATTTTTCTTCTTTCTAGAAATAAGTGCTTAAAATTAGAAACATTATTTGCCAATAGAACAAGACGACGAATTTCAAGTTTTAATTGAGTAAAAATGTCTAAAAATAGGTTTCAGAATCCTATAATAATAATAATAATAATAATAATAATAATAATAATAATGGTTTGTTGGTATAATATTAAACTTTAGATTTATTATTTGACTATATTCAAGATATTTTCAACTTCTGAGATGCCGTTCAGTGACAAGTAAGACTTCGTACACTGCAAAAAAAAAAAATCTTAGGGACAATTTCTTGAATATAGTCAAATTTATTTAAATTTCCTATTATAAGATTACAATGAGCCAAATCTAAGATAGTTGTTGTTCCTCTTCTTTCGGCTGCTCCTGCTAAGGGTCGCCACAGGGGATCATGGGCCTGCGTATTTGATTTTGCACAGTTTTTATGCCAGATGCCCTTCCTGATGCAGCCCATCCGGGCTTGGGACCGTCACTGGAAGTGCACTGCCATGGGGTTGGTTCCCTGGCTGGGAATCGAACCCGGGCCACAGCAGGTAGAGTGCCAAGGCCTAACCACTAGTCCTCCAGGGACCAGCATGCCAAATATTTAACCCATTTCTACTAATTTCAAGCTTGAAATAGTCTTGTTCATTTACTTCTAGAAAGAACTAAAATTACGCCAATAGAATAAGACCATTTAAAGCTGAAAATTAGTAAAAGTGTTTAGAAATAGGTTTAATAATCTTCTATTTGTTTAGGGTAATTCTGTAATAGGAACTTAAAGATAGATTTGACTGTATTTGAGATATTTTCATTTATTAAGATGTCATATTTTGCAGTGATATGGCCAAACTGTGTGTGTGTTTGCGTGTGTGTGTGTGTGTGTTGGGGGTTCGTAAGACAGGACAGCTCCATCACTTGGCATCCATTTTAGAAAGGATTCAATATTAAACGCTTTGGAGCAATCTGAGATGGCTTGGGAACACCTTGAGGAACCTTTTTCTTAAAGAGGATACTCACAGGCCAGAAGGAGTTAACTCTGAGGTTGTAGCTGGTGTGTTGAACAGTAAGACCATCTCAGAATCCAAGTCTTTCCACATTAGGGCTGACGTCGTCCGTGGAAAAAAATTCCGAGCTGACTCAGAGGAAGTGGAGCTGCACTGAAAGTTTCCGGACATGACACTGTTATTTCTGCTTGCTCATGCACGAATCCTGCCGAATCCCTGCTTGCCATGTTTCGTCATTTTATATCCGCACAGCAAGATGGGTAATTTGATGTTGGCCAGTGAGCTCAGAGTTCAGGGAAATCAGACGTGTGTTGTCACTGAAAATATTGGCCTTGAGTTACCTGTCATTAAGGACAGCTCTAACGAACATTCTGGTAAAGATATAATACCTCTGGGAGCACTTTATGGTGGAGTTTCCCATGTTCTTTCAAAGGGTTTGAAAGCTCCAAAACCCTCAGAGCCGCGGGAGAGTTAAGAACAACTTTGGCAAGATGAGGAAAAGCAAGAATATGTTATACTTATGACTGATATTATCAAGTAAAAATATGTTGCTTATAGTCAGATTTATTTAGTTTTTCCTATTACAAGATTACAAGAAAGCAAATGTAAGACCATTTCTAATTTCAGGCTTGAAATAGTATTGTTTTTGGCAGATAATTTTTACAATTTTTAAGCATTTATTTCTGGAAAGAAGCAAAAGTATCTGCCAATAGAATAAGAACATTTCTCAAATAGGTTTGAAAATCTATATATATGGTTTGTTGTAATCTTTTAATAGGAAATACTAAATAAATTTGATTATAGTCAAGAAATTTAACTTGCTCAGATGTCGTTTTTGCTGAATAAATACATCACTTACCATGACGTAAAGGTAAAAACGATTTATTTACCATAAGTAATCGAACACGTTAAATATCACATAGGAGATTTGACTGAGTATAACTGAAAATACTCAAACAATACTCTTACGCTATGACATTTAGGAATATGATCATGTGATTTTTCACAATTTGTTTATTTTCACGTGTTAATTTTTCACACGTGGTTAATTTATTTTCGTATGTGGTCATATATCATGTACCTGATTTTTCTGTAAGGACGGTATTCCCACCTCGTGCCCTGGTTTCCCAGGATAGACTCCGGATCAATCCAAGCCTGACCGGGATAAAGCTCTTACTGCACATGAATGAATGAATATTAACTACTAACTAACTGAATATTACATTTTAACCATTCTGTACTTTGCCTGCAGTGTTACGTAAGATGTTTGTCTTATTTATACCTGTTCGGCACCACAGTAGAGATGATTTTAATTCACAAAGCCATGTTTTTTTTTAAGTTTATTCTGTTGTGTGTATGGATGTGGTGCATTATCTATCTTGTGTTTTCTTATTGATTCATTATTATTTTAAAATCCAATTCCTATTCCAACAGTCTGGATTTTCCCCGTCTTATAAATATACAGTGGGGTCCAAAGGTCTGAGAGCACACTGAAAATGTGGGATTTTTCAAACAAATATTTTAAACTGGAAATGAACAGATTTGCTTAAATTTAAATAGTGACCCAGAAATTGTGCAACATCTTGAATACTGAAGTTGCACAATTTCTGGGTCACTATTTAAATTTAAGCAAATTTGTGATATTGGCCATGTTAACTTAAGGTCAGAGTTTTTTTTTTTTTTTTAGGTCAGATTTTCCATGAGTCTTTTTCCCTTCCATGTACACTCTGATGGATTTGATCTCATATGGATCATCATGGATAGTTTTACACACACCTGTGGAGTCTGTGTCACCTCAAGTGCACACTGTCATTAAAGCAGAAAAAAAAAAGGAGACCTACCAAATACTGAAATTCAGAATACTCGAAACTCTGAAATTCACGTAAATATTTCTAAGATTCTACTTTTCACTCAAGTTGTTGCTGATAATATCATCTGTAACGAGAACCTTCGTGTTAAATTGGAAAAGAGTGCCAAACAGAAGCACTTTCACTCAGACTTTTGGACCCCACATCCAGTCGTCACCATTTCAGACCCAGATCTTACTATAGTGTTGGGTTTGTGCTGCAAATTTTGGATTTTTTTTTTTTTTTGGGAAATATGATTACAAAATTAGGATAATCAACTTGAAATGAAGATTCGAGAGAAAAAAGAGTAAATACAAGTCAACAAACTAGCAGCACAGTGGGCGAGTCGGCAATGCCTTCCTTTATTTTCCTGTTTCACTCAATAGTCATCACTTTATTCTACCAGAAGCTTCAGATCTATCAGCTAGATTATATAAATGGAGGTTATATCTCTGAAGCACAACTCAAACATGGATCTAGCTTCAGATTTTCACAATTGTAGAATGGATCTTGTAGCCAAAGAGTTCACCAGGAACGACGACAAGTTCCTGATGTTTATTCCCTTCGTATTCACGGTATTTTGATCAGAACATGAACACTGGCAGACCTGGAGAGCGAAAAAAACAAAAACTAAAAGTTTTCAGCATGTCTAAAATTGAGTGTGTGCATCTCCTATTTTAAATGGCACATACCTGACATGATGGGACTCACATTGGTCAAGCATGAGGTAATGAGAACTACAGTTTCGCCCGTAGATCCTCCCTGACCTCCGTGAGGCCATATACTGCTTACGACCATGCTGATGAGGTTTAGGATCTCATGTCAAGGTCAAAGGTCAATATGTTCATGGGTGTGGGTGTCTTCGAAACAAGCCATGCCCACAACAGGCTGTTAAAGGGAAAAAAAAAAAAAAAAAAAAGCACCAGAGAGTCCGCAAAAGGGTCGTCAACGCAGGATGACCTGCTGGCCCATAAATCTTCTTGATGAGGTACGTAAAAACAACTTAAATTGCTTACCATCTGTGAAGTTTGTTTCATCAAATACTTGTAAATCACTAAGTGAGTGCATCAACAGGTGCAATGCCCAAGATCCAGGAAGTTGCGTCTCCAGAAAGCACGATTAGACACAGTGTTTATGTACACGTTCAGATAGTGATGGTATTGAAAAAAGTTGCTGATATGCTCACATGACATCCCTGGACTGCCAGATCTCTGCCGTCACCTTCTGTTTATTCCCTCGTGCGTCCACTGCGGCTTGGAGAGAAACCCTAGAAACCCTAACGAGGGAAGATCTATGGGTCGGACCTGTTTGGTTCCTCCGTGTGTCATGACAGTCATTCCTGCGCCGCATTTAGAAATCTTCGCTCATAGTTAGCTAATGAGTCATCTTAACGCCGTAAGAGTAGGACAGGGGTTTTTTTTTTTTTTTGTTTTTTCTAATCCCGTGATCACCTGGAGCTGTAGCAGCAGGAATCAACTCTCACTCGCCGAAAGCGAACGAATGAATCGGTTAACGGGTTCTGCTGTGAGTTCGAAGGAAGAGGAAAAATCTTCATGGAAGCTTTTCTGATAACTGCATGGACGTTTCTTTCTAATAATGATGTGATTCCTGTATGCGGTTTTAAAATTTTAATGACTTTGGTTAAACATATTCATTGGCAAGTCCACTTTCTGAGGGATATTGATTGTGATGTTGCCAGTCTGAAACTTAGGGATAAAAAAATTTGTAAGAACTAACTAACTAAAAATGTTTTTCTTATTTAGTTTTTTTTCATTTCACACTCATTCATATCGGTTTTACACAGTTCTCTATTTCGTTTGAAAATTTTCATAAATTTCTTGAAAAAATGAGTAAGGGAAACATCAGGCAAGCAAGCCTGAATATTTCTATCACATTCAGACATTTTTGCACAGAGACCTTTTTTTTTTAAATAGTAAAATGTTAATGTAAAATGCACTGTGTGAGGGTTTTTGTTACTTGTGATAATGAAGGAACATCTCTGAAATCTTCCTCAGTTTTTCCCACGGAGATGCAGAGACATGCACCCAAATACTGTTCTGTACCTAATAAAGAACTTTTATGGAATTATCATGACATCAAGCTGGTGTCCAAGCAGCCTTCACATAATAATAATAATAATAATAATAATAATAATAATAATAATAATAATAATCTCTCTTTCTCTCTGTATGTCTGTCTCTCTCTCTCTCTCTATTTCACTGTTTGTCTCCCTCTCTCTCTCACTTTCTGTCTCTTTTGCTGTCTGTCTCTTTGTCTGTCTCTCACTCTGTTTGTCTCTCTTTCTTTCTCTCCGTCTCTCTTTCTGTCTGTCTCTTTCACTGTCCATTTATCTGTCTGTCTGTCTCTCTGTTTGTTTGTCTCTCTCACTCTCTCTGTCTCTCGCTCTGTGTGTGTCTGTCTGTCTCTCCCTATTTCTGTCTCTGTCTATCTCTCTCTCTCTTTCTGTCTCTCACTCTGTGTGTGTCTGTCTGTCTCTCTTTCTGTCTCTGTCTATCTCTCTCTCTTTCTGTCTCTCACTGTCTGTCTGTCTCTCTTAGTCTGTCTATCTCTCTCTCTTTCTGTCTCTCACTCCGTGTGTCTGTCTCTGTGTGTGTGTGTGTGTGTGTTTCTTTATTCTTTATTCTTTATTCTTCATTCAGACGGAGCTGAAGTTTAAATTTAAAGCCTAATAATCGAGTGACGAAAAAAGTGACGAAAGCGAGATTAACGTGTGTGT